TTGTTCGGAATACAAGATTTAGGCCTGGCAGAAAATGATCAAACAATGAAAACACAAACTGCTCATTTTGATGAATTAGCAGAGAAGTTATCTATCTTGTACATACATACATACATACATACATGTATATGTATACATATATACCTATAATGTTTCCCTTCTAGTTTAAAAAAATGAAAAGAGTAAATAAGATCCAAAATATACAATAGATATTGTGAGAATGAAAGGGGAAAAAGTGCTCAAAAAGAAAGATCAGATTTGCATTTAATACTGAAATTGCCACTTACAGATAACACTTTCTTACATATTTCTCCAAACTCTTGGGCAACTTTTTGCTAGGACACTTCAGATCTTTGTTTCTTGGGTCAATTTTGGTAAGCTATATTTGCATAGATATTTATCTATTTTATAAAGTTTAAATTTATAGTATTATTTTATTATCATATTTCACAAAAATCTAACCTGCCAGCAATTCCGAGATGCCTATTGTCTTGGTTAATTTTCTCTCATTGCTGAGACAAAATACCTGACACCCAAAGTTAAAGGAGGAAAAGTTTATTTAGCTCACAGTTTGTGAGGTTCCAGTTCATAGTCTGCCTTCTGGCTCCAAGGCAGAGTTGCATGTGGCAAAAAGCAACAGTTCATAGCAGCCAGAAGACAGCAAAAGCAACAACAGCAAAATGGAAGGAGTGCGAGAACAAGCTTCTTTCCTTCCCTTATATTGTATGCAGGCTACTCACACCAGGCTAGGTGTAGAACTCACACACATAATCTCAGCATTGGACCAAAGATCAATCAAAAATTCTAGAAGCCTGCCTCCATGACTACATAAAGCTTTGGGGGACCATCCAGACACAAACCATAACATCTATTATTTATCACTAAGAAAAAAAACTTAAACTCTGCCAATTAAAATAGTCATCTGTATCCATAAGTTTTACATTGTGGATTTAACTAATCTCCAATCAAAAACATTTGTGAAATTATATCTGTAGTAATCTAAGGATGATTGATGAAACAGACTTGTCTCAGAAAAAGTACAAATGGCCAATAAGTATATTTTAAAAGGTTCAATATTTCTGTCTATTAAAGAATTGAAAATTAAAACAACATGAAAATTCCACCTTACTCCAGGAAAAATGGCTATCATTCATCAAGGAATCAAATAATAACAAATGTGATGATGCTGCATGGAAAAAAGAATCCTTCTACATTGGTGGTAGCAATATAAACTGGTACAACTATTATGTAAATCAGTATGGAGATTCCTCAAAAAACTAAAAATAGAAATATCATTTAGTCTGGCTATTCCCCTTCTAGGTATCTTCTTGAAAGAGTTGAAGACATCATATTATAATGATACATGTATACCCATGTTCATAACAGCCAGATCATAATAGCTAAATCTTGGAAGCAATCTATACATTTTAAAACATATGAATGGAAAAAGAAAATGTGGTATGTATACACAATGGAGCAGTACACTCCCATAAAGAAAAATAAATGAGTCATTGGTAGGAAAATGGATGCACCTTGAGCCCATAATGTTAAGTGAAATAAATCAGACACATAATCTTAAATATCACATGATTTCTTTTATATGAAAAAATGAAAATATAATTAAAGAGCAAAATAAAAGATAAATAATAGGAAACAAGGAGATAGATCTTTCTGCAAAAGGGAACAGAAACCAAGAGACTAAGGGAGAAAGGAAGAAGGAGAAAGAAAAGGGATGGAAAAATGAATTAAGATATGTTATATACATGTACCAACTCCACATGAAGAATGCAATCATCATATATTGCAAACATGTATTAATAAAAATAAAAGTAAAAATTATATATTTATATATATGAATATTGCATAGATTATATGCAAATACTATGCTATTCTATATAAGGGATTTGAGAATAAATGGGTTTTGATATCTGTGGGAGAGGAGGCCCTGGAGCTAATCCCCCAAAGATATCAAGGGACAGCTGTATTACACACTACTTTTTTGTCATCAACTATAGCAGTTGTGGCAAAGCTATGGCACACATGTTACAGTGTTTATATCATTGAAAGCTCTAAAAGATTTGCCATCACTGGACTATGATACAACCTCACTTAACGTTATTAAGTGAAAATTAATGTGTCCTTCAGTCAATGAAGTATAGGACATTTTAAATATCTGCATATCTATATTCCTTTTGTTTATTCATACTTGTATGGAATACAACAGAATATCACATTGTGAATCCAATGTATTACACAAAGCAGTAGATTTTCCAGGTATTCAAGTATGTGTGGTGCATAGCATTAATTACCACATCCGTGAGTACTTGTACATTAGCACAATGTGTTTTCTGGTGACTGTTGCAATGAACAGATTTCAGTTCTTCATCATTGTGAAATGTTGCCACAGTGGTTTTAGCTTCACTAGCAAGACTGGCTTTAAGATGTGCCATCACAGAAGTCTCTCTAGTCATAGTTACTCACTTGACCTTTCTGCAGTAAAATATTGAAGCTTTCCTTAGCAAAGTACTCATATATCATGAGTAGCATAACAATTCACCAACTGTATAAAATTTTTCATAGCTAGTTATCATGAAAAATATAAACATAGCTACCTGATTGGAATTATTTATATCTTTGTAATTTTGTCTACTTTTCAATTCTTAACCATGTGCAATATTCTCAGCAGCAGTAGTTCCAGCTATAATAAATTTTCAATACTGGATTCCATTAAAGCATTGTAATGCTTCCTTTACTCTATAGACAATTTTTTGAGAAAAATTTCATCTACAAAAGGTTATGATTCCTTTTGAATAATAGCATCATCTATTTCCAGTAAATGGCAAGTCTAGTTCTTTCTTTTAGTTAATTTTTTGTCATGGATATTTTCTCTTTGGCAATTTTTCTGTAATTTGTTTCATAAAAATATTTTATCTACCTTTCTTGGAAAAGCCACATTTTGCATTTTTTCAGTAAATAAAATATTTCTAGTTTTCACAAGAAATACATTTTGAACCTTTGTTCTGAACACATATGGTGTAATTATCTTTTATTTTCCTTCTTTTGACAGAGCATGACATTAAACAACTCTTGCTCTGCTTTAAGAAAACCCAGCTCTGCAAGCACGACAATAGGCAGCATCTAGGTAGCATAACTGAAGACAGACTCCTGCTCCTGCTGATGGCTGGCCTGTGGTTACGTGTCCTCCATTGTGTGAGAACTTTCAGGGATCTGGATGTCAACTAAAACCTCCTGAATTTCAAAATGTTGATCCAAATCTTTGAAAACATTGACTAGATCACATTAAATATGGCTGCACACAGAAAGCAGTCTGTGGGTCATGTGTTGACGACCTCTGCTTCCAATTCTCAGCCTCTTTCTAATGAAATGTGATAGACTGGGCTTTCCTGTGTGAGCACTTGCTCATAAGAGATAAGGAACTAAGTCAGAACTGTGCAACAAATTCTCTCAAAAGGGCAATTTGGGTTGAATACTGTTAAATACAATAATGCATTATTTTATCCTGGTGATAATTTTTTACTTATGGAACACAGGCCAAGTACATAGTTCTGTGGAATTCTCCTGAAGAAAACTGAGTTCTCAGACTAGAAAGGGTTGGTTCTTTCCTCTTTCAGGCTGGAGAGTTAGGTCTGGAATCCAGAGGCCACAGACAGGCTCTGTGCAGTATCAACACAGAAAAAGGCAGGTACTTCTGTAAACTTCCACTTCCAACAGCCACATTTCTCAGCCCTCAGCAATTTTAAATTAAACTCTGTACTGTCTTTGTTTTTATTATTAGTTTCTGACCCATAAAGTTTCTACATCAATCTTACAGCATTTAAAATTTTTTACAAAAATATAAAACAAATCTAATATTTTATTTCCTTCATATATTTTTCTCTTCAGAGGCCACTAGAATTATTTTCTTTTATTATCTTTTTTTTTTAAAGAAAACAGTAGAATTCATCTAGGTCTATATCTCTTTTTTCTGACTTTGTTTATGTTCACTTACATTTTTTCCACCATTTCAGCTATGGTGTATATCATAGAGCTCTGCTAGAGAGACCTACTCATTGCTTTGAAGGTGGATTTTCTGTGTGCTCTATGAATTCTTGTTGCATCATCTAAGTGGCAATTTACTTTGAAATAATACAGCATTTGCCATACACATTAACTATTTACAGACTAAGGGTGTAGTTAGTTATCATTGTGAATACTATAACCACAAACCACACTTAATACCAATTATTTAAGACAAAATTTTAATCAAGGATCCACACCTATTTTATAGTCTCTCATACTTTCACAACAAAGGCTTGAATTGCAAGCCTAGAAGCCTGGTGCACGGTGCAGTGTTCCACACTCTTTGGATGTGCTGGGGTTACAGCAGTGAGAAGTTAAGCAGCCCCCGCCTTCATGGCTTCAAAGAGTCTGCAGAGCAGAGCAACAAGCACATTATCACATGATGGACATTTCCAAGGAACAAGTACATGGAAATTCAGTGCATCATGGAGTTTAAGCAATGCCTAAAGAAGAACTGACAAGAAAATTTCCAGAATAAAAGTGGCATTTACACTGAGACCTGAAATATGAGTCAGGATAACTTAGTCAAAGAGAGCATTTAGGAATCTGTGTCTGTGCAAGTGATGCTTTTAGTACTGTGTACATGTGCTTAATCAATGTATGTAAGGTGAATAAGTAAAAAGTTAAATAAAGGAGTAAGTTCAGTGCTGCTAGCAAATGATGCTAAGATAGATGTGGTTTCATGACAAGCCCAGAGCCAGGACACATATTACAGGTGCCTGTAAGTGGCGCAGGGTAAGCACACAACAATACTGGCTGCAACAATGAACACACAAAGACCCATAGACCATGTTAAGGAGGCCAACTCATACCCCAGCAGCAGTGGAAAGTAGACAAAAAGAGTGAGTCCCCGTTGAGATATTCCAAATTCTTTTCCAAATTATTATAGAAATGTTCCCCATTTATGCTTCTCCTAACAGGAACCCTCCTCCTAAGGAGTTGGAGGCTCCCTTCCCTTCCTCTCTTTGCCCCGCCTACTTCCTTTGCAAGAACACTGATCAGGAAGAAGTATTCACTCATAGAAGCTGCCGGGACACACAACTGTGAAGAAGGAAGGGTACCTCCGTGAGCAGAAGCATACTCTCAAGAGACAAGGGCCTGTGTCCACTGTACCAAGCCTTAAACCTCCATCTGCAAGACATTCCAGCCTTCCAGAAAAAGAGGTGAGTGTCTATTTGTCGGCCGGTCTGTCCTCTCTGCACAGACTGTTAGCCCTTGCCCCAAAGCCAAGACTATAAGAGAAGCCTGTTCTGTCCACCTCTACTGCAGACATACTGAAGACTGAGTCTTCAACAACTTAAGTAAGTATGGTCAAGATTACAAACTAATGCTCTTACAAGCAAGGGTCATTTCAAGATCACTAATTCTTGAAATACAGGAGAGGATTCAATTTTCCACAGCTTGAAAAGACACAAACAGGGACAAGGTTAAGCCTAGGGCTAAGGGATGAATCCCAAAATCAAAGGCTTCTAATCATCACAAGTTTCCAACCACACTCTGGGCAAATTTGGGCCTTCTAAGTCTCCATTTGGATCTCTGAGCAAGAGTTTGGGGTAAGTCCTGGGCAAGTGGAGCAAGTTTGGTCCCAGATTCTAATAATTTTGTTTTGATCTCCATAGGTTTCTGAATTCCCTTCATAATGAACTGGCACATGATAATCTCTGTTCTTATCATAGTGGTGCTTAAAACTGTTGGAGTGACCTTATTTCTGCTGTATTGTGAGTATTCAGATGATTGCTTAACTCTGTATACTTTGTGTTGTATTTGAGTGATTGACACCTATTGTTTTGTTCCTTGACTCTTCTGAATGCAAAATTACATGTAAGGTTAAATTCTCAAATTTTTCATCTGAGGGCAAGGGATATAGCCTAAGAGCAATTGACATGTGCTCTTCTCCCTCTCCAGCATATACAATGGGCCAGGTTTCTTCTTCTACCTTGGAGATACAGAAATGATCAGAGTCTACGAATTCAAATCCCACATGCTTTTGTTACTAGACTATTTGGGGGAGTAACATGAGCTGAAGCAGTTAGCACAGAATGTTATTGTTGCTAAAATTTAAAAACGCAGCTTCATTTCAATCCAGTACTAAATCTGTGTTAAGAGCTGAAATACAAGTGAATAATCTAGAACCAAAATAGAAATTTTGCTATTCATACAAATTCATTCATTAAAATGAATTAACTTGAAAAAGAAGCCTTATATCACAGGATTTTGCTGCAATTCAACAAGTAGACTCCTCTCAATCCCCTGAAGCCAATAAGTAGCATAAATGAAGAAGGAAATATGCATAGGTCAGAGAAGTTGGCTAAGAGGAAATATGAGTTTCAATAAGTGAAGACATTCCAAAAATATACACACATCCCTGCCCTGCTGACCTGCATCAGAGATCAGTGCTTCCCATTAATAGTCACAGGTCCCCAGCAATGCTTTTGGGTTTGCTTGTATTATTCATCACATAGCGATATTTGGAACTAAGCCAACAGTTGATTTTCTTTCCAGTCCCACAGACTTTTTGGAAAAGTAATGATGGCATCATTCCTACTGCGAGCCATGGAACAGATAGTGTACATAATGGTAACCTTCCCTCTACCATACAGCTTCTAGGACCCGGGATTCTTAGAGCACTTCCTCAAGGTCTCCTTGTACTTTTGTACAAAGATATCAAAGAGGTCTTTTAATGAGTTATCTTCCATGATAAGCAATGCTAGACTCAGTGAAAATTTCTCTTTTTTTTTTTTTGTCTTTTTCATTTTTATCGGTACCAGGGATCGAACTCACAACCGCCTGCTTACAAGGCAGGTGCTTACGCCACTGAGCTAAATCCCCAGCCCCTGAAAATTTCTCTTTTACTGCATTAGGGATAGAATCCAAACTCAGGATCTTTCACATCAAAGTATACATCTAAGCTCTACTCCCAGGTCCTTAGTGAAATTTCTGATCTTCAGCTTTCCTTCTGGCCTGTGGATGATTTGTATGTAATTGTTGTAGTGTAACATGAATGTACTTCAGAGAATCTGAAGTGATAGATAGCTACAATATAATGGTTATTAAGAGACCAAGTGCCACAAAAAGAGTATCATGTCTGTGTGGCAAATATTATGCTAAGCCAACCAAAGAAGAACGAAGTCATGCAGAATATACAGATGAGTAACATGTGGCTCTGCCTGTTAAACCACCTGCTCTGGAAACTTTTTCTCACATCTTCCTCCCATTTCCTCCTAAGACACCTGTTAGTACTGACACCTTTAAGAGAAAGGTCATTCCTCACTCATCTTTGTTTCCACTGAGGCATCCAATAAAATGAGTCATATGATAGGAATACTCAAGAAGTATGTATTGGGTCCCTTTCATTACAATCTCAAAAGTACCTTCTGATGAAAACCAGGCTACTGGATATGACAAAGGGTCCGTGAGCCAGACTAAAATAAAAAGTGAAAGCTAACACCTATTTCATTCATATAATTTTAAGTAAACAATTTAGTATCTGAGTAAATGAAAGTGTTTTCAACTATAATAGACAATAACTGGGATCACTGAAGGAGATCAGACCAGCCTCTGAAACTACTGTAGCTTCCTACTCAGAGAGCCAGTGTTCTAGAAGAAAAAAAATGAGGCTTCATGCAGACTAATGAATGCCCCTGTTTATATTTAAATGAACAGGTGAATTTCTCTACACTCATGGGAAATCTCTGTAATGTTCACCTGATCCTTTGTCTGATGACACCATAAAACTCATTCTAGTTAGTCACAATTCATAGAGCTGAGAAGGTATTGATAAGAGCAGCATCTAGGAGCTGCCTGGAATTACGAGTTTCATGTTTGGGACTCCAAAAATGGCAAGAATAGCAAAGATGTTTTGTGGAAACTGAAGAAGAAATGCTCCAGTTCTTGAGAAATAACACTGTCAGAGGAAGACATAAGAAAAGAATAAATCTCCCTGGGATACCAAATTTTTCTGTTATTCTACTCATCAGTCTCTTGTTTTTTCTGCTCCCTACACCCTAGCATTTCATACCTACTGCCACAAAAGGGAGGAGCATATAATAGGACAAATAATATAATTATACTTTCACTAATAGCATAATGAAAGTCCAAAGAAAGAAAATATGTAAAAAATTTAGCTCAGTGCCAGCCAAGAGCCTTTTGTCTTCCTCACTGTTAAGTCAGAGAGCTGCAGGAGTTCAGCAGCCAACACTGTGATGATTGTGTGTCATGCTCACTAGACAGCAGTCTTTACATCTTCTTTTCATCTCAGTCTCACAGATCTTTGGAAGTAGTACTGAGATCATCATTCCCACAAGGAACTACGGAACAGGTAAAACACATGACTTGAACCTCCCCTGCACCCCATATGTAGGCTATTAGCTGAATTTGGAGATTTTTCTCATCACTTCCTTCTCTATGGAACTTTTTTTTTTTTGCTTAAAGGTTCTATAAAGACTATCTAGTTCATTTCCTTCATATCATCAATAGAGAAACAACCTAGAATGGGTGAAATTTCTCCTTGGCTTCAGAATAATTTATATCACTATAATTACTATAAAGAAACCCAAACCAGGTATGGTGGCATATGTCTGTAATCTCAGCATTCCAGGAGGCTGAGGCAGGAGAATATTATTGCAAATTCAAAACCAGTCTGGGCTACAAAGTGAGCTCAAGGCCAGCCTGAACTACATAGTGAAACTCTGTCTCAAAAAGACAAAAAGAAAGAAAAGAAAGTCGTATCTCACTATGTCCCATTATTTTATGACTTAGTTTCAGGGTTCACATTCCAAACAACTAATCCCATATTTGCTTTTTCTCTCTCTCTCTTTCTCTCTCTGTCTCTCTGTCTCCATCTCTCTTTCTCTTCTGTCTTTCTTTTTCTTTCTCTGACTTTTCCTCTCACCTCTTCAGTCTGCCCCCCATCCTGGCAGAACTTCCATCAAACAAGCTGTTTCTTCTTATCTACTTCCGAATCAACCTGGAACAATAGCAGGGATGATTGTGCAAAAAGAGGATCCACTTTGGCAATTGTCAACACACCAGGGAAACTGGTGAGAACATCAGAAATGGTACCGTAAGGCAGCCCACCCTACACCAGCCTTAATGGATGGAGCTGTTAGGCAATGTGGTGGAGCACAGGTTGGGTGGAAAGGACTGGAGAGGTGGCTGGCTAAGTTCTATCTTCTCATTCTGAATGTGGGATTGAGAGACTTCTTAGTAGCATGGGGGTGTGTACTTTGACTTCTCTAAGCTAGACATCCAACCTCTGCAGTCTTCCTCATAAGGTACAGCACTGGGATAATATCCTAGGGTTGGGCCAAGACCTTTAAAGTACAGGAAATGACCAAAGAGCTAATGTGTATAAAATTGTTTAAAATTGACAGCACACATCATTGATATGAGATATCAATGTAGCATCCCAGTATACATAGTAAAAAAGGAAGATGTGGATTAGCATAATTAGCAACGTGAAAAAGAGTCATGTCATAGGGTTTTCAGTTAATACTCATGATAATAAAAATAGATAACACTATGGAAAAAGTCTTGCTATTTCTTTTTATCTCATAACAATCCTAAGGGTATATTATTACCTATATTTTATAAATAAGGAAATGAGCAAAAAATAATTTAATAAAGGTTATACACATAAACTGCAGAACACAGAATTAAATTCAGGTTTCTTTTGCTCCAAAATCCATGTTTGAATAAATTCTAGACCATACTTCATTCTAGTGTATAGTTACCTCTCCTTCAGGCTAAGCATTTGCTGAGTACCCAACAGTCAGTATTGCTTAGGCAGAGGACAATACAAAAGATGGAACTTGTTACGTAGCAAAACTTAAGTAAGTAGAGGAAAAAGAGTACTGTGCTACATACACTATTCTTGTTTCTCTCCCTTTTATAGCCTCACTTTTCCTTTTTACAGAAGTGCTCCTGTGATTGAGAAGAATTTGTAAGAGGACTTGCTTCTCTGATATTGGCACTTGATGTCTAACAAAGGGCAGGGATCAAGATACTATAGATTCTCAGGTCTGAGTATTAAGTGGGAAGGAAATATGCCCTCAGACAGAAAACCAGGAGTAAGACAGAGGAAAAAGGAGGAAAGAAAATGAGGAGGGAAGAGGAGAGTCAGACAAGAAGCTGGTGGCATCTTTTCCTCTATTCACTCCTTCAGTTTCAACGCATCCCAACTCCCACTGTTGGCGTTCCCCACCACACACTCCATGCTAACCTCAAGAAGTTCATCACAATAGTTTACTGATGAATCTCAAGTCAACATATTTTGTTATTTTAATGACCCTCATTCAGAAATCAAATATCGCTGGAAATGAAAGCAATTCTATATAGATAGGTACAACAAGTATTTAATTGTATTTTAAACTAACTGGTCTTGACCAAACAATTCTTCTCTATTTCTTGTTTCAAAAAGCAACGTCAGCATCATCTGGGCACTTGCTAGGAATGTAAATATTTCATTCTCTATGCAAGATCTCCTGGGCCAGAATTCCAGAAATCTGTGTTTTAGTAAAAGCTCCAGATGATCTTGATGCCTGCAGAGTTTATGAACTTCTCTTGTGGTAATGGCAAGTGCCAGTGACAGCCAATCTCCTACCACTAGCAGCTTTCCTTGTTGCCATAATCAAATATAATCATGGGTTCATTGGCTCAAGAAGGACTTGGTAAGAAAGGACTCATTGTTATAAACTATTAATTTATTTTTTAATTTCTAGAGGTATCTCCAAGACAAAGCTGATGCTGAGAATTATTTTATTGGCTTAAGATATCAGCCTGCAATGAAAAAGTGGCACTGGATCAACAAGTCTGTGTTCAATGGCAAGTATGTGAGCATTCCACATTTTTCTGGGGATGTTGGTATGTCTCAAAAGACCCAACCTATATATCACTGTTGTATAATGTCTTTAATTCTTCTGGTAAGATATCCAGAAGCTGGGTAGAATGGGATTTCCAAACCTAGTTTTTTGAGGAATCTCCATACTTATTTCCACAGTGATTGTACCAGTCTACACTACCACCAACAGTGGACAAGGGTGCCTTTTTCCCCACAGCCCCACCTGCATTTGTTTTTCGTTGATTTCCTAGTGATAGCTATTGTTTCCAGGATAAGACAGAATCTCAGTGTTATTTTAATTTGCATCTCTCAAATGACCACTGATGTTAAACATTTTTTCATATATTTATTTGTCACTTGTATTTCTTTGTCTGAGAAGTGTGTGTATTCATCTCAGTTGCCCATTTTTTGATTAGGTCTTTAAATTTGGGGGTCTGATTTTTTTTTCAGTTCTTTGTATGTTCTAGATAGAAGTTTATAGGAGCATAATTTGTAGTAGCTAAATCTTGAAAACAACACAATTGCCCTTTGGTTTTATTCAAGGAATGGATAAAAAAAAGATGTGGTAATTTTATACAGTGGAGTACTACTTAGTCAGAAAGAAGGATAAATTTGAGATTTTTATAGCTAAGTGGATGCAACTTGAGATCAGACTCATAAGTGAAATAATGTGTAAACATCATATTGTCTCCCTGGTGGAGAAACTCAAAAAGTAAATAAGGTCTGAAATGTACAATTGATATTGTGAAATGGAAAGAAACTTCAAAATGAGAAAGGAACTAGAATTGGTGGAAAGGAAAAGGACAGTGGGGAAAAAAGAAAAATCCAACTCAGTTATACTATTAGCGTCACTTAGGTGACTGAAAAGGAAGGTTTGTGCTAACATCAATTGGAGAAATTTTTATCCTCATGTTTTGTACCCTGAGCAACTAATTTAAAGATAACAAAATGCAATGTATTAACTATTGTTATTCTCCTGTTACCTTGTTATGAAGTTTTGTTTCATCTTTTTTCTATAAAAAAAGACCAAACCTGAGACTCATGCTAGAATAGTACAGAAGCCAGAATAGTATTGAAACTTGACCTTGTTCTAATCTTCTCCTTTTGTCCATCCTATCTATTCTTAGAGAAATATTTCTTATAAACACTTTACTATGGAAAATATCAAACATTTCCCCTTTAAAAGTAGGAAAAGCTGGGGGTGGTGGTGCATACCTGTAATCCCAATATTCAGGAGGCTGAGGCAGGAGGATCATTGTGACTTCAAGACCAGTCTGGGCTACAAAGGGAACTTAAGACCAGCCTGAACTGCATAGCAAGACCCTGTCTCCAAAAGACAAAAAGAAAAAAATAGGAGAGAAAATATTCATAAAACACATTCTTTCATACAACAATCCAAACAAATCCATATACATAGCTGGGGGTTTTTTTCTGTAACTCACAGGTTTCTTTTAAACTACTGATTCTATTTTCTTGCTCAATACCTACAAATTTCCTCAGATGTAGCTCTTTTATCTAAATAGAGATTTTTTTTTTAAATTGTCTATACTTTAAAGTTCTGAACTTCTTTTTTTTCCAACTCTATGTTATCTGAAGGAGAAAAACAAGGGGAAAAAAGCTAAAACTAAATTTCAAAACACATCAATTAGTAGGTAACAATGGTATATACATTGCACATTGCCTTCCTAAAATCATTCACCCAGAGCACATTTTCATTCAGTTGTCCAAACAATACCAGCACAAATCTTTCTCTTCAGTGAACTCAGAGAAATCAGTAGTATAATTATCTTATTTATATATATACACATATACATATGTTGTTTGTTTAAGCTTGTCACACTAATAAGACAATATGATGTTTACACATCTGTGTTTTATTTATTTCACTAATGAGTATGGTCTCAAGTTGCATCCACTTACCTATAAAAAAAATTCAAGTGCATCCTTCTTTATTGATGAGTAGTACTCCATTGTATAAAAGTACCACATATTTTTATCCATTTCTCAGTTGATGAGCATTTAGGTTGTTTCCAAGATCTGGCTATTATTAATTGTACTGATACATAAAGGTGCATATATATCACTGTGAAAGCTGCAAACTTCTAACTCTCAGTGTCTCTAATGGCTGATTCCATTGAGATAAACCTTGGTGGAAAACATAGTCTTCCTAGTGCTAATATGAAAATGCTAAGTTCAACAGGCCTCTAGTCTGCAACTGGACTTCCCCACAATGGGGAAATATTAATATTTGTTTAGTTTCTGCTAAATAGAGGCCCTATGCTGAGCACTTTACACATATTTCCTGCAGGTGCTGAATTCAGAACAAGAAAGGTTTAAATTGGGTTGAAATTCATATAGTTTTAAAGTGATAAAGTCACAATTTTATCCTATATTCATCTGAGCTCAAAACTTATATGACTTTTCCTTAAAATTAGAACTCAACTCAGATTAAAAAGGACTGAATAGCAGACAAAGAGACATGAGAAGGCCAACAGACACATCCACCAACATTTTCCTACACCTTGCTCAAGTCAAGGGAACAATGAGAAACTTCTGTTTCTCTTTCAGTTCTGCTACACATTTACAGATAGTACTTAAACAATATTTCTTGAGGAGAAAGGTACATGATGATGTTTCCAAAGATAAGAGTGCATTAGTCAAGATTCTGGGAATCTCTGAACACTCTTTGGAGAGCTAACAGGAAGGGTGAATGTAGAGCTGAATTTAAGAAAGGCTAGTTTAGAGAGGGAAGGTTCAATTAGAATAAAAAATGTGGTGCAGGGCTGCGGATTTAGCTTAGTAGCATAAGCACCTGCCTTGCAAGTGTGTGGTTGTGAGTTCGATCCCTGGTACCGATTTAAAAAAAAAAAAAAAGAAAGAAAAAGACAAAAAAATCTATATTCAAAAATGTGGTGCAGAGAACGTACCAGTTGCAAGAGACTCTCACTGAGATCAGTGAAAGGCAGAGCACAAACAGCATTATGACCACATTTTCTTTTCTCATTTAGTGTTACCAACAAGGAACAGAACTTCAATTGTGTCACCATAGGCCTGTCAAGGACATTTGATGCTGCATCATGTGACGTCCCCTACCGCTGGATCTGCGAGATGATTCTCAAATGATCACAGTCCTCTTTGACAAGAACTTATATATTTACAGAGATAACAAAAGAGAATAGTTACAATTGAGACTGGACCAGCAAATCACTGTGTCAGCCTTCCACAGGTTGCTGGCAGAGCTCCCTAAGGAATCCACAGGGCTAATGCACCATTCCATTTCACATGCAGACTTACATACACACCACCAGAAAAACCTCCCAGTTCTCAGCCAGCCATTACGCTAGACTACATTTCCTGTGAGAGTTGAAATGGACTTTGTGGAACCTCATGGTTCACCAATTTTGTGATTCTTTTATGTATCTACCAGTAGAGGTCCTTACCTGTTTAGGAAAATGAGCTTCTGTACTCTGCTTTAGGGAACTGGATGCTAACCATCTCCAGGAGGCAGTGCCAATTTTACCGCAACAACACAGCTGATACAAAAATGAGGTCTGTTTCTATAGACTGAGCATTCCCCACTGATCCACAGGGTCTAGCCTGTTGAAGTTTCTTTCATCCACAGAGCACATGATCATGTTATCAGAGAGAAACTGCAGACTAGGCAGTTGTGAGCATTAAAGGGCAGAATCAGTAGGACAGGGATGAACTCAGCCTCTGTGCTCTTTTCTCAGTTCCCAAGAGACCCCTATTCACATGCCTCCTCTGAAAGCTGAAAAAGCAGACGCTTTCTGTCTACAGTGGGGCCAAGACTTGAGGCATTTTTGGCTCCTAGAACTGAGCTTGGAACAGAAAGAACATTGCTGATAGGAGTGGAGAAGGGTCCAGACAGGACAGGAATCTGCTCAGAGATCTCTCTGAAGAGAACCAGACATCAAGAGTACTAAGCAAAGTAGATCTCTGCTCTTCAACAAAGCTCCAACCAGACACTCAAACTAAAAATTTCTTGCCCTGATATGAAACATCATGATAGCATGTATAACTCATTTGTAACCAAAATTGGGGCAGGCAGATTCACTTCCCTGTGCAGGTTTTGATTATGTGTTGAGTACATTTTAAGAATTAAGGATAGTCTTTTAGACCTCAATGGACACAAAATATTCCTACATTCAGTATTGGAGACCCTAACAACAGATACTGATCCAAAGAAGCCTTGCCAAAGAGTAGAATCATTGGGTAGAGGAAAAGAGTAGGCATGGAAAAGAAATACCCAGGACAAAGGGAAATCATAAAAGAAATGGAGTCCATTTGACCACAGTAGATAAAAACACAAGAAAGTAGCAAAATTCTTGGGACAACTTGGCTGTTTTCTGCACTGGCAAGAAGATGTTAACTACACATACACCTCAGGACACAAAAAATACAAAAAAAAGACATTCCCTTTTTGTCTTGAGTAACAAGAGTTAAAGCATAGGAATGGCTATGTAAAACTAATGGAAATTAGAGTTGCATAAGTACCTGTTTACTATTTCCATCATTAATAATCTACTACAAAATGATGTCATCAGTTGAAATAAATTGTGGTAAAATTTATCTTTTACTATAAGATTAAAGACTATATATTCCTTGGGTTCACCAGCACAGCACTTATAGTTTTTAAAAGTGAGATAATTCAGTAGGTGTTAGAACTTGTTTGAAGGAGGCCATCAGAAATAATCTGTGTTTGCTGTGGGGTAGATATTAGAACTGTGTTAACATCTGGGGAGATTAAAGTTTCCCAGTTGTATTAACAAGTGTGCAGCACAGTTGAGGAGTGGGGAGAGACTAAACCTATGGTAGAGAAAAGAACCAACCAAATGCTAGCTAGAGATAAAACCCGGAGCTTAGACAGCAGAAAGGAAATCATAATCCTGCTCTGAAAAAAGAAAATTATAATTGCTTCATTTTCTATTTTATAATAGACTAACTATATTCTTTCAAAGTCATAAAATGTCAACCTCTAAAACATTTCCATAATTGAAGCCCAAATTTCCCCCAAGATGAAAGGTAGTCCAGTTTTCAAAGATGCTCAGTAGGATAGGATAGAGATGAGGAGATTCAAGCAATAGGTGAATTTTGGTTTAATATCATTATTGAAAAGGGGACTCAGAATCTTTAAAAATGCAAAAAAAGTATGGCCTTTATGAGGTAGTAATGATATGATAAAAATGCAAATTTATAATGCATTGAGTTGGAGTTCAGATTTTGCTTCTAATATACTGAATGAATCTGTATAGCTTTCTTACTCTTTCTTATATCTTAATTTTCTTACCTATAAAATGAGACAGTGATATCCCTCTCACAAAATTCTTATACATATTAAATAAGATCCCTTCTATATATCTCAATGGTTATAAGCATTAGAGGAAATACTTTGTGGAAGATTTGAGATTTTCATCCAACAAATAGCATTTCAATTTGCTAGAAGATAAATGTAAGCAAGCTGCTTAATTTCTCAGAAATTTTTAACTTATTTATAATATGGAGATAAAAATCACCCAAGTCAGAGAAGAGTACTTTGGAAATTCTGTGGCCAAGCCACATGGAGATCAACACACATCTCCTAGCTATGAACATGGGCCCAGTCTAAATCAGGTAGCCACAAAATTAACAAACCCACCTGGGATTGGCAGAAACACCAGCTGAGCCCATCCTAGATCTACTAAAATTCTATTCATGAAAATAAAAGCTGATTGTCATATGCTAACGGGGGTTTCTGGCAGTCTCTTACATAGTAAAAGGTAACTGATGAGATCTCCTAGCCAGTGCCCCACCCCCTCTCCACTTACTGGTCCTTTTCTCCTGTGCTTACTGTATTTCAGCTCTTTGCCTATGCCTTCCCTGGGATCTCTCCACTTATTAGTCACTATACCTGGAATACTCTAACACTTAATTGAATGCCTCACTATTTTGTATCTCTCAAGCTTTTCCTGATAACTTTATTTAAAATCCAAAAGTCCTCCAAGTTTTCCTTTAATAATGATTTCATGTCCTTTTATGTAACATTTTTCTACTATCTAAGATACTATTTGTGATATTAACAGTTTTTTGAGATGTAACATACCATAAAATTCACCCATTTAAAATGTAAAATTCAATGGGTGTTGTAGTCAGGGGTTGTGAGGAGAACAATTAGAATCAGGACACAGAATTTATATTGTTTTATGATAGTCACCCAGAGTTTAATGCAAGGAAGTGTAGGAAATCTGTCCACATACTAAAGACCCAGAATATTCAGCCAAGGGCCTGGATCCTACAGCAATGTCCTGCATGAGTCCAGATGGACACCTACAGCCCATGACAATGCCTCTCATAAGTCCAACTGGAGGTCCAGAGCCCATAAGAACTCCCACCAGTCTGTTTTATGGATCTGCACTGGGAAGATCAGCGGTAGAAACTAGAAAGTCTATGCCAGCAAGGTAAAGGAGCTATGTAGGTTGAGGGTTCTATACTGGAGTCAAGAAGTCACACTCAAAACAAGAGCCAGGGCTGCCCTAAAAAGTACCACAGCCATCCTCAGTGACATGGAGATCCTGAGCTCTTCCAACAATAAGAAAACTCGAGTATATGCCAGAAAGCCAGCATGACGAGTACCTCCTGGAGATTAAACAGCATCTTCCCCTCTAGAGTGAGGAAGCGAAGCTCAATGTAAGGACCAGAGCTCCCCCAAAGTGAACCACAGCCACTCTCACCAACAAGGGCCTGAGCTCATCTGATGACAGTGCTTGAACTCACACTGGGGAAGCTAGTCATGATGAGCTCCTCCAGGAGAACCAAAGGCTCAAACACTAAGCAACACTTAGAGAAACCCACAACACTTCACTCATATTCTCCATATATCTATTTATGCTGGCAACTTTCCTCAGGTGGAACATCTATGCTCAGTACCGTGCTAATTTAATTCAGCTGGTGTTAAATTGCTTATCAGTTTTTAATCCATAACAATGGGTTTTGGTATAGTCACAGTGTTATGGTTGATACATTGTGTCAACTTGAGAAGTTTAGAAGTTTAACTGAGAGACTCAGCAGGGAGCCGGGATCCTTACTTTCTAAATATCCTCATCCTGTGCAAGAGGAGAGTACAGAGATTTTAATAAGTACTACACCCACCTTAGAAGTGGGTAGCGGTGGCTGTGTACAGTGTAAGATACGAAAAGCAGTTTGCTCTTCTCCCTTTTTTGCTCTGACTGCTTTTGCTGACTGCTGCCTTGAAGTGTTACCCCCGTGCCATGCCACCCTGCTGGGGAGCCAACTGATCATGGACTGAAACTTCCACAAACTGTAAGCTAAATAAACTTTTCCTTCCATCATTTGGGGCGCCAGATATTTTGTCCCAGCAATGAGAGAAAAGTAGCCAAGATGCAAAGTTATTGGTAATCATCACTTTCCATAGCTATCATTTCATTCCTCTCAACCCTAAGCTACTCCTGGTCTACTTTCTGTCTCAATAGACTTCCTTATTCTAGACTTCCATATAAACAGAATGATATGTGGCCTATATGAACCTGTTTCTTACACTCAGCATAAGACTTCCAAGTTGTAACATGTGTTATAGTTTGGGTTTTGAGCCCCCCTCCAAAACAAAGGTCCATGTGTTTTTTTTAAAAAATGATCTCTAGTATGATGATATCCAGATGTGTTAGCACTTTTAAGATGTAGGACCTAGTAGGAAGTCTTCATGAGGAGTGTGCCCTTGAAGAACCCGTTTTCTTCTCTTTTGCTTCCTGGTGACGAAATGAGTAATTCTGCTACACCACACACTTGTATCATTATATGCTGCCACACCACAGGACTAAATGCAGAAAGGCCACTTGATCATGGACGGAAACCTTGGAAGTTGTGTGTTATTCATTCATCAGCTGATAGGCATCTAGGTGGTTTCCTAGCTTTTGCCTATTATGAAGCATTACTATTAACATTCATATTCAAGTTCTGGGGTACATACTTTTGTTTCTCTTGGATATTATATTATACATAGGGATATAACTTCTGGGTCATATAATAATAAATTGAGGAACTGTAAGGTAAGGTAAAGTAAAGTTCTAGGATACTAAAGGTAGGTTTTCCAAATACTTTCATTTAGATATCAAAATACTGAAATTTTTAAAGATACGAATGAAGCCAATGTTCTAAGTGTTTATCTAGCACATGAAAAAAAAAAAACAGCATACTTGGCCTCATCAATTTCTTTGGGTAGCAAAGTCTGACCATGATTTATCATACTCCTTCCCTACTATTTCAAAACCAGCCAAAAGCTACTCCATTAGCCTAGTCTACTAAAAAGTAGCAGAGGTGCAACTGACCCACTATTGAAAAATAAAGGGAGCAAAAATAAACATGTTGTCTTGGTTACTTTTCTCTCATTGCTGAGACAAAATACTCAACACACAAAATTAAGGAAGTAAAGATTATTTAGCTCACAGTTTATGGAGATTTCAGTTCATAGTCTGCTGGCTTGAAGTCAGGGTAACATGGTACAGGAGCAATAGTTCAAAGCAGTGGGAGACAGCAATAGCAGCAAAGGCAAAAGGTGTGGAGAACAAGCCTCTTTTTCTCCCTTATATTGTAAGCAGGCAGCCCACCTGAGGATAGGTGAGCACTCACATCATCTTTTCTCTTAGGCTTCCCTGGTTCCAAAATATTACACTACATTCTTTTTACTACCTCCTCCTCTTCTTCCTCCCCCTCCTCCCCTCCTCCTCCTTCTTCTTCTCAGTGGCAATATTGGGAAACACAGTTATCATCATCACTGTCTATGCTGATAAATGTCTGTAGTCCCCCATGTATTTCTACCTCAGTCAGCTTTTTGTCCTGGAGATCCTCATCACATCTACTGTTGTCCCTTTTATTCCCCCCAGGGATTGCTGCTTCTAAGGATTCAAATACTATTATGCACAACTATATTTGAACCTTTATTGAGAAGCTTGGAGCTGGCATTAATAAGAGTGATGGCCATGGACCATTACGTGACTGTCTGTCACCCTCTGAAATACACCCTCATCATGAACAACCACACCTGTATCTGGATAGTAATTGTGTCATGGATGTTTGGATTCCTTTTTCAAATCTGGCCAGTCTATGCCACATTTCAGCTTACTTTCTACAAATCAAATCTGTTAGACCATTTTTACTGTGAATGAGGACAATTGTTCTAGCTATTCTGCAATAACACCCTTTTCACAGATTTTATTCTTTTATTGGTTCTATGGTACATAGAATTATCTCCTACACCTACATAGTCTCTACCATCCTTAAGATCCCCTCGGCGTCTGGCCAGAGGAAAGCCTTCTCCACCTGCGCCTCACACTTCACTTATGTTGTGATAGGACATGGCAGCTGCTTGTCCTCTTGGGGGAAACCCAAGCAAACACAGGCATCTGAATATAACAGAGTAGCATCATTGCTGGCTTTAGTGGTGACCTCTTTCCTGAACCCTTTCATCTTTACTCTCAGGAATGACAAATTTCCACAGGCCTTTTAAAACGCCATGAAACACTGCTATCTGCTTCTCAAGGATTAGTTCTGTCACAAGGACAATCTTTACCATGAACTTGAGTAATCTGAAAGTATAAATTGAAATCTGAAATGGCTGCTCCCATCATCAAATAGTATATGGTCTACAAGGGAACTTTAAAGTTCTTAGCATATTATACTTTGTAACTAGATGGCTTCTACACGGGAGATCACATCATTGTTGTTGTTGTTGTTGCCACTGTTGCTGTTGTTATTTATTGCTCTCAGGGTAGAACTCAGGGTCCCCTACATACTAGGCAAGCACTTTATCCCTTGAGTTGCAACTCACTCCACTCTCACTTTATTATTTTTTTAATGAATAAGATGTGCACACATTTCTGTGGGTACATCTCACAAAATAAATTCAGCAAATGTAAATATATAAACTATGTATGTGTTTTAGAAAACTCGAACCTGTAATGAGAAAAGAAAGAAAAGCATTATTGCTTCTCCTCCTACAGCTGATAAACAAAGGTCTCATTCCAGATGTCAAGATCATCTTCCTTTATAGTGTCCCATTCTCTCTCAGTGTCCTCTTGCTATATAAAGCTATTGCTACCCTGAATTCTTCTCATTAATGGTATACTTTATAATAAAACTTCTAGAACTTAAATTTTAAAATAATGTGTGTTTAGATTTCTGAACAGCTAAGATAAGGGAAAGTATTCTGTGATTGAAGAATTGAAAGATCATAGGCTCCTGTACTATCCCCCTGCAAGTTCTGTGCTATGTGTCTGCAGAGGGTGTAGTTTCTTAACCCTCCTATGACTCAAGCATATTCTCTTGATTTCTATTGAAAAGTCTTGCTCCCTTAGTATTTGTCTATGTATTTTCTCTGGAGGAGTTTATTTATTTATTTTATTGATACCAGGAATCAGACTAAGGGCCTTGTGCTTGCCAGGCAGGTGCTGTGTCACTGAGCTGTATCCTCGGCCTTCTGGAGGAGTTTAGAAAAGTGAAGTTATCTCACGGTTCTAGACTTTTTATACATTCAGGGCTGGGCATTTTTTCACATCAACATATTCTTAATTTATGAGATTTCTCAGCATGTTGGAAGAAGAGCTAGATAAGGAGGAATTCTCGCACTTCATCACCCAGATCATGTTGCCATCACAACCAAGGAGCATGATGGAGCTGTGTTCTGGGAGCTGGAGTGAGGAGGGGGAGTTGGGCTTACTGTGTCCTGTGCTCAGAGGGCAGAGGGTGGAGGCAACCTTGGGTTCCTTGCTCTGAGCTTCTGTCTTTGATCCTTTCTGCATGCATACACTTCCCTTGCTCCCTTGCTCTGTACTTTATCTTGTCCTGCCCACTTTCCTTCCAATTCTTCTTTGTGCTCCTCTTGCAGTGACTCCAGTTCTTCAGTATGCCCTTAGTTGCCACTCACAGATTCCATTTGTTCCATGCTGTTTTCCAGCTTGCCACACTGTGGGCTCTTGTGCCTCATTTCCAGCATCAGCTGAACCCACCCCTCCACTGATCCGCCTTGTCCTGTTCCAAGTTGATGTTTCCATTTCTTACAGCATGGGCACAGTTTCATCCATTATGGCATTTTTGTAACAACCAAAAATATTAATATGGAATGGAATATCAATAGGTAATTGATTAATGTTGAAAATACCACAGAATTGAATCCAGCGGTCAAAAAAATGAAATTTCTTTTTGCAATGATCAAAAATGATCTCCAAGGTGTACTGTTAAATGAGAAAAACAGAATATCCAATTTTATATTCAACTTTTTGTGTAAAAAGAAATGGGAATTAAATCCATATTCACTTTATTTGCCTGTGGAAGTCCTTATAAGAAAGTAATAACTGGCTGTCATGAGACTATGGTAGTAGGAGCAGGAAGATAGGGAAAGGAAGTTAGACACTTCATCTTATGCCCAAATCCCTTTTATTTTTGCAACCACATAAATGTTTTTCCTACACACAAAAAATAATAATAATTGCATTTCTCTTATGTGTCTTAAAGGATACGTTCACTCAGCCTCCCATCCCTTTTAAAGACCCAGGAAAACCTACTTAATTCCATACCTATGTTTCTCCAGATGGGGAGATATTTGGTAAGTGAAGACTATTGCAAAGTCAGAATATTGTCAAAATCTTTCCAGATATAGCATAGAAATTGGGGGCTCAAGAAGAATATCAAAAGATGGAGGTACATGAGTATGAGATTATATACTTTGCTTCATGTAAGGCCTAGGTTAGGATTCTAACATGGCAAAAATATCACTCTCAGCTGAAGAGAAGAGGCTGCCCATTCTAAGGAACTATGCTCTAACACACAGTACCTATCTGTAGTGGATTGATAACTGGTGGTCAGCTTGGAACACCCTGCTGAACTCAATCATTGTGGTGCTGGGTGTGGATGGCATACCTGAGGATTGTTGCCAACAATATACAAAGGAAAACTGGAGAGGACGAAGGAGTGTTGGTCTTCCTGTTGCTGTTAGTTCTCCTGGAGGAGCTTGTTGAGCTTCTTTACTGATATGAACTTGGCTGTTCTTATCATCAGAGGAGCTTGGGGCCTTGTTGTTGCTGAGAATGGCTTCAGTTCACTTTGGGGGAGCTCTTGTCCTTACTCTGAGCATCACTTCCAGAGGGGAAGATGGCTTCTTGATATGAACTTAGCCATTCTCATTATTGGAGGAGCTCAAGATCTCACTGTCTCTGGGATGGCTGTGGTACTTTTTGGGGGAGCTGTGGTCCTCATATTGAGCATTGCTTCCTGGCTCCACTGCAGAGCCTTCATCTTACTGGCACAGATCTTTCATCCCACTGGCACAGACTTTCTAGCTTCCACTGCTGACCTTTGGGTCTTTCCAACACATATCCGTGGAACAGACTTGCAATAGACATTGTCATGAGCATTAGGTCTTCAACTGGACTCATGCAGGACATTACCACTGGATGTAGGCTCTCAGCTGGATTCTTTGTTTTTAGTGTGTGGACAGATTTCCTGCACTTTTTTTTGTATTTGACTCTTTGGGTGACTACTATAAAATAATTCTATAATTATGTGCCCTGTGTTAAATTTTTTTATCTTTTTGAGATAGGGTCTCACTATGCAGTTCAGACTGGCCTTGAGCTCACTTTGTAGCCTAGGCTGGTCTCAAACTCACAATGATCCTCCTGCCTCAACCTCCTGAATGCTGGGATTACAGGCATGAGCCACCACACCCAGTTTAAATCATTTTTCTTGCAAACCTTGACTATAAAACCACCTTATCTGTGTACTAGGTATCAAGAATTAGAGAAAACCAGCCATCCATGACTCCATATTTCAAAAAAATGAACCACTGTTGTCAGAAACAGTAGAAGCTTGTGTCCTCGACTCTCAGGGCAATAGCTTCTTTTATGCTGCAAATTTCTCCATACTTTTGCATATCAAAAGAAATCACCAACAGAGTGAAAATAAAACCCACAAAGTGGGAAAAAAATTTATCCAACTGTCCCTCAGACAAAGACTATATAAAGAATTGGAAAAAAAATCAGATCTCCCTAAATTCAAAGACCCAGTCAAAAAATGGACAGCTGAGACAAACTATATAGATGAAAAAATACAAATAGCAAATAAACATATGAAAAAATGTTCAATATCATTGGTTTGAGAGATGCAAATAAAAATAAAAATGAGATTCCATCTCACCTCAGTAAGAATGACAATCATCAAGCAATCAACCAATAACAAATGCTGGCAGAGCTGTGTAGGAAAAGGAACCCTTCCCCACTGCTGGGAGTATAGACTGGTATAACTTCTATAGAAATCAGTGCAGAGATTCAAAAAACTAGTTCAAAAAACTAGTATTACAGATCCCATGTGACCCAGCTTGTCCCCTCTGGGTATCTTCCCAGGGGAATTAAAAACATCATACCACTATGATATATGTGCACCCATGTTTATAGCAGCACAATTGTAATAGCTAAATTTTGGAAACAACCCAAATGCCCATCAACTGAAGAATGGATAAAAAAGATGTGGTATTAAAATACCAATGTATATAAATACATTGGAGTACTACTCAGCTACAAAGAAGGATAAACTGGAGACTGTTATAGGTAAATGATACAACATGAGACTATATTCATAAGTGAAATAAATCAGATCTGCATGTGTAAACATAGCATTGTGTCCCTAGTATAAGAAGCTGAAAGAGTACATAAGATCCAAAATGTCCAAGAGACATTGTGAAATGGAAAGAAACTATTCAAAAGGAAAGAGAAACTAAGATGAGGGAAAAAAGAAGGAAGGGAGAAGGAAATACATATGTAAACAAAATAGTTAAGACAGCCTTACTACTAGTTGCTTTTAGCTCATTGAAAAGGTGTGTGCCTACCTTGTTTGATCAATTATTCATGCCTATATCTTGTAATATAAGCAACTACTTTGAAGATAACAATATTCAACATACTAACCATTGTTGCTTTCCTACAATCTTGTTTTGAAATTGTTTTTATTGTTTATTTCTTTAAAATAAAAAATAAACAACAATAAAAGTCCTTTTTTCACTCAAAGTACTTAACAATACTCTGACAATACAAACATAGCACAATTTTTTAAAAAAGAAAGAAATGTGTACAGCATAGGCAGAATGTTTTCACACATTGATAGTAGTCACGTTGGTGGAAATAGCATTTTAGGATGATTATGTGTACAATGTTAGATAAACTAATAAATAATTATGGAATATTCTAATTCTAAATGTAGAAAAGGTTAAAGTCTCTAGAGTCTCCCTATGTGAACTTTACATATAGAGGTGAACTAACATCTATCTATCTTCTGGTTTTGTTTTCTGTAACATACTAATAACATGGATCAATCCATTAACTATGACAATAACCAGGCCCAGATTGTGATCTTTCAATACTGTTACCTGATACTTTAACCCAGGGCTTCTTAAATGAAGACAGAACATCTACAAAATGAACTGGGAACATCTTATCAGAGCAGATATCAAAAATTAAAAATTACTAGTCATACTAAAGGATTAAGTACATAATAGGAAAAGATTTCTGCTGACCAAAGATGAAAGAAATTGTGCTTCAAAAATATATAATTGCAATCATTTGAAAATTGAATACATACAAATCTGTGAGTTTTTTATATTTTTAAAATAGCCATCTTCAAAAGATATTTATTATTCACCAGAATGATCAAGCTTCTGAAACAATCTGCTAGCTTACAGAAAAATCTGTGAGAACAGAAAGACACATTTAACTGCACCACTGGAATCAACAAAACCCAGATTATGGGAAATTCTACAGTCAAAAACATCCACTTTCTTCAATTGGTAAATTAGAAGGAAGTTAAAGACCTACAGAGAGAATCTTCTGATTAAAACAGACTTTAAAAATGTATCAACAAAGCAATGTATCATATAGAACCATTAATAAATGAAAAACAGTAATTACTTAAAGGTCAAGATCACAGTTAAGTCTGAGGAGGTGAAAACTATACTTCTAATAGGATTCACAGAGAGGCTTCTGGTGCTCTAATTCCAAGTTCTAAATCCTAATATTGATGATAGTTCCAAAGTGTTTGCGTCTACGCACGTCAAAGAGAGGCCCACAGTTTGTCTTGGTCAGTTCACTCTGAAAACAGACATTACGGAGTGAAATTTATTTCTCACAGTTCTGGATGCTGAAAGTCCAAGAGCAATGCACTGGCAGATTTATATTAGGTGATAGCAGAAGGGGCAATAAGAGGTTCTGGGATCCGTTTTATAGGGCGTTAATTTCATTCATGAGGGCTCGACCTCCTGCCTGACTGTGGATTCTCCTACCTTAACCTCCTGAGTTCTGGGATTACAAGCATGTGCCACCATGCACAGCTACCTTCATAATTTTAAAACAAGGTCATTTATTTATTTGCCTTGGAACTTTACTGCTGCTTTCTGGGAAAAGACTCGCTGACTGTTAGGAAATATGGTCCTCCATGATGTGTAATCCCCTGACTTCTGGCCCCAGATTTATGTCATGTGGGAGCACTCATGGCATTCAGACACAATGGAT